AGTGGCCTAAGTACTTTTGTCCTTTTTCTTCCCCCAGGAAAGAAGGGTTAGGAAGGTTATCAGGAATCTCTAATGGAAGTCAAAAAACCAGGACCCAAGTTGCTTCTCTGTTACTGGGCACTGACATTGCAAGGGTTCAAAAAACAGTTTGAACCCAGGTTCAAATACTGGCCCCAAGAACAACTTTCTTTTCAGAAAAATAAACAACCAGTTTGTTAGAAAGCAGCTTGCATATGAGGCTCTTTGCTTTGGATGTTGGTGGAAGTTGGCAGTCCAATCATTAAGAAGCAGCTGTGGCCATTTTAACTTCTTGTGCTGTGGAAAGTTCTTTCAGGCTGTTCCTCTTCCTACACACAGGCTCAGGCATCTCATTGACAGGAAAATGCCAGGATGTTGCTTATGAGATCCCAGTTCCTTACCTCTCTTGATAATTCTATTGACTGACTGTTATTCTCCCAATACGTTGTTTCCCGAGTCTGGTAGAATTGGATTCTATTATGTACAATAATATAAACAAACTGATAGACTGTGGCTATTTTAGAAAAATATGGTGTTTACACAGTTTATTTATACGATTTAGAATGAAATCAATTCCAAGCAAATTTGGATACTAGGTTTTTCTTATTTCATGTATCACTTACAGTGGCCAAGAGATATTCAGTGGCTTACTGCTAGCAATTTTCTCCACAACTCTAATGGAATGACATAGTATTTTCACACAGATGAGTACACCTTTTCAGAACACCTGCTCTGCACATTAGTTTTGCCTCCTTAGTGATTAGGAATGACTAATCCATGATAATGTGTTGCATTTATTGGCTTAGATATTAACAACATACTAAAATCCTCACGTGCATCATGTGAACACTCAGGCCTTTTATAACTGCAGGCTGGAATCAGCTGTAGACGGTTCAAGATTCCCAGTATCGTCAGATATTGATGTGACAATTCACACTTGGCCCATTGTGAACACACGAGGCTGTGATAAATTATCTGCAAGCTGAGCTTGCTCTTGCCACAGAGTTCTATACTCCAGAAAACAGTAATGTAAAATCCATGTATTACTGTGATCATAATTCAATAACGTTAGAGAGAGTAATGGAGCCTCACATGTGCTATACAGACCACCTTTCAGAAAGGTTGCAATTGCCTTTGATTACTACTTACTCTTTCTCAAATTCCTCTCTGTTATTTAGTAGACATCAGCACTGCTTATAACTTGCCTGAACAGCAACATGTGAATGATGGCTACCCCTTCCCTGTTGGTTTACAAGTCATCAGAAAGGTCACTCACAAACAGAATACTCACATGTTGTAATTTTAGGATAAAATAGTCAATGAAAATATGATCATACATTTTAGCACTTAGATGTTGAAAACCAAAGGAAACAGCAACAGGTAACAAGCAGTCTCATTATGTCAGTGACAGAACGAAAATCTGAGCCACGATCTGAAATTTCATTTATTAGACAACATTGTCATCCTGATGCCATGAACAGAAAGACTTTTTTTTAAAAAATTATTTTTATTGGAAAGGGAGTTTTACAGAGAGAAGGAGAGACACGGAAAGATCCTCTGCTTGTTCATTCCTCAAATGGCTGTCATAGCTGGAGTTGAACCAATCTGAAGCCAGGAGCCAGGAGTTTCTTCCAGGTCTCCCACATAGGTGCAGGGTTCCAAGAATTCGGATCATCCTCTACTTCTTTGACAAGCAGGGAGCTGAATGGGAAGTAGAGCAGCTGGGACACAAACTGGTGCCCATATGGGATCCTAGCAGATGCAAGGTGAGGATTTAGCCACTGACCCATTGTGCCAGACCCAGATATGTTGGTTTTTATTACACTTTTTTTAAAAAAAGAGATTTTATTTCTTTCTATTGGAAAAGCAGATAAGCAGAAAGGAGAAGAGACAGAGAGAAATATCTTCGGTCTGATGATTCACTCCCCAAGTGATCACAACGGCTGGAGCTGAGCCAATCTGAAACCAGGAGCCAGGAGTTTCTTCTGGGTCTCCCACGTGGGTGCAGGGTCTCAAAGCTTTGGGCCATCCTTGACTGCTTTCCCAGGCAAAAGGCCGATAGCTGGACAGGAAATGGAGCTGCCGGGATTAGAATTGGCGTCCATATCGGATCCCGGAGTGTTCAAAACGAGGACTTTAACTGCTACACTCTCTCGCTGGGCCCTTATTACACTTTTAATACACAGACACTCTGTCAAGTTTTGTGCTGACCTAGGTAAATGCAGTGTATCCTTTTGAGCAGCTCACAGCCTGACATGTGGAAGAAACTAACAACTTCGGGAAGCATGAGTAGTTTTCTAATTGGAAGATGGTGATGCAGGAATGCTAGGTTACAACTGGCTGGGACTGGTGGGTCACATTGTGGATGGAGGGATTGCAGAGTGAATGAGGACAACATAAAGATATCTTTCATGTAAAATAAGCCTGCACAATGACATTCCAAAACACGTGAAGAAATCTGATGTTAAGAGAAACAACTAACGGTTAAATATTATGAAGGAAAATACTAAATCGATTTTTGGAGTTCAACTAAAATTCCCAAAATTACCCTGGTAAGATGCCTGGAGAAAGAAACCAAGAGATTATGAAAAGAGAGACACAGAGTAAGAAAATCACAGTATATAAATTTAGAGCAAAATTAATGAAAATAGTAAAAAAAGTGAAATTAAAAAAGCAATATATTTAGTTAACAGGTTGAACACAGTAAATTGAAAAAAGTGCTATGGTATCCATTCATAATACAGTATATGCAATAAGATTTAAACTAAACATGCTCATATGTAAGCATTTTAAATTATCAGTTCAAAGTGGGGAGTTGGAGACTGGCTTTGTGCTATACTTAATTAGGACATTAGCACCTAATGTTGGAGTACTGTTTCTAGTCCTGGCTGCTCCATTTCTAATCCAGCTCCCTGCTAACACCTGGGAAAGCAGCAGAAGGTGGTCCGTGTGCTTGCAGCCTGACACCAACTGGATGACAAGGATGGACGTTCTGTCTCCTGGCTTTAGTACGGCTCAGCCCTGGAGCATGAAACAGCAGACGGAAAAACATCTTCCTTCCTTTCTTCCTTCCTTCCTTCCTTCCTTCCTTCCTTCCTTCCTTCCTTCCTTCCTTCCTTCCTTCCTTCCTTCCTTCCTTCCTTCCTTCCTTCTTTCTTTCTTTCTCTCTCTCTCTCTTTCTCTCTCTCTTTCTTTCTTCTTCTCTAATTATTTAAAAAAAGAATTAGAAATTTGTGGCACAGCCACAGACACATAAGGAGGAGAGAGGAGAAAGAGGGTCTGTGTTTGCAATGCAAAAGAATCATAGCCACGTGCAAGAGGTATTTATTTGGCTAAAAAACATGGAGTTTTGACGTACCTGTATGTAGTGAAAAGATAACTATTATCAATCAAATTAACATTTTCACCTATTTACAGTTACTTTTCTTTGCATGTGTGCTAAGAGTATCTGAAATCTACTTTCTTTTTGAACGTTCTATATTCTAGGATGTTAGTTGCACCTGCCTCTCGTGTAGCTTCACTTTGTAGTTATTCATCCTATATAATTGCTATTTCCTATTCTTTGACCAACATCTCCTTATTTCCCAAACCTCCCTATCCTTGGTAATCACTGCTCTCTGCTCTATTTGACTTTTAAATATTCTGCACATAAAGGAGGTCATGCTGTATTTTTCTTCCTGTGTCTGGTGGGGGATTTTAAAAGAATCAAAATGGCATAGTACAGTACGTTTTTGCAATATACTTGAAGACCTAGACATGAATAACTTTTACAACTAGGCATACATGATCAAAAATAGCTAAGAAAGACTGCCCAAGCTGGTGAAGTAATAGTCATAAAATAAATTGAAGAAAAAAAAAAAACAGTTAAAATGAGTAATCCTCCATTCAAACAGGAGCTGACTCTACCCATGAGCCAATGGGTTTTGTCAACTGGCAAAGCAAACTACATAAGAAACATTATTATCACTAAAATCAAAATTTTTGCATCAATAAATTACATTGTTACCATGTGAGACATTGTACACATTTCTGCACATTGTACATATTTCTCTCTTTTTGTTATTATTCCTGTTAATGTTTGTAACTCCTTGTCCATCTGTCCACCCAGCTTTACTGTAACATCTCTTTGTCAGATTCTTTCAAAGCCTCACTGACGTCTTCCTGCTCTCCCGTGGCTAGAGGACTGTGTCGGGCATCGTTGTATTTGAGCTTGTGCCTCTGGCACCTCCTAGAATGCCTAGCACTGTTTTGTTTATTGAATATGTGATCATATCTAATGCTGAAGTGGCTATCTGGGTATCAGGTACTCCTCTGTGATAGCAATCAGCTGTTAAGTTGTGTTAAAAAGATGAGTTGAAAACAGTGGGCCAAGCTTTTTACTGCTGACTGTAGGCCAACTGGGCACACTGACACGGTCCAATGTCCTTTCGATTGCTGGAGGGCAAACAAGTAAGGCCCTTTTTCCTCCACCTCTCGCTGACTGTTTGCCACCTCACCCCAAGTCAACCAAGGCTGGCGGAGCTGGGGGCTTCTGACACAAGGTGCTCAGCGGTCCCAGGTCTTGGCAGGTACACACAGGTAACTCACTATGCGCTGGTTCCTTCAAGTTGCGTGTTTTCTGAATAAACTTTAGAACAGCACTTTTCTTAACGAATTGAAGGAAACAAACAGGTGAGTGTGGCTGGGCTAACATTCTATCTGACTTCGAGTTTTGGAGTGAGGTGTAGTTGACTGCCTGGTTTACTGCGATACATTTGGTTCCAACTCATTACAAACTGGCTTTTAATTTTTTATGTTTTCTTACTGAGGGCTGAATTTCCTTTTATGAGATATGCATTGCATGGTAAATGGTGTTTTGTTTTGTTTTTAAAACTCTTTCCCCTGGTGAAAGGGAAAGGAAATTCCAGGGTGTGAATCCCAGCATCTCTTTCACTAGCTCCTGTTCTGCAGCTCCTGCTCACACATGCTCTCAGGAGAAAAAAATGGCGTCGGTGCCTTCCATTGGTTGTCTTCTGGCCAAAAATCAGTATTATCGAAGCAAGTTGTATCACTGCAGCGACTACCCTGGGAGTGCAACTTGAGCTGCTATTGTGGGGATGGTATAAAGCTATGTGCTGGGTCATGCTTAGACTTCAAGGGAGAAAACTGACGTTGTCCGTGACAGGAAATCAGACACCTGTGAAGCTGTGCTGCTCAGCCTCATCTCGCCGCTTGGTTTTGTCTCTGTTGTACCCATGGAGCCATTAACAAACATGAGTGAAACTAAGCTTTGATTTTATGATTACACTTTATCTACCATGTCTTTCATGAGTTACATTAAAAAAAAAACCCACAATTTTCTGTAAATAAAATAGGATTAAATTCCCTAGAAAAGAAGAAGCAGATGCTGCTTCAGACATTTCCTGATTTTCATTTTCTGTTGTGGATGAAGGTCAGCATTCATCCATGTGGCTGGTTTTATGTTTATTAATATTTTTATCTGTGCATATTTATAGCTGAATAAAAATCAAGTTAAGAAATTCTAGAGAAAGAAGACGAAGAAATTGCGTAAAATGAAATGAACCTTTGAGAATCATGTTGATGTGTATTGAAAGCTGTCTATTCTATCAATCCATAGAAAAATCTTTATTTCAAGGATTGTCTGTAGCAAGCATTAAAAATCTCTGTTGTCTTATTTGTTCCAGAGAGGTTATATTTTGTCTGTCTATTTGATGTTACTTTTGTCAGTACATGCTATTTTCATACCCTGGTCTTTTAAAAGATTTATAGACTTAAGATTTAAACCTAGTAAGTTAGCTAAAATGTTTAGCATTTAAAATAATTTCCCATGCTCTAGATTTGGTTAACTTTAAAAAAAAATTAAGTATGTACATGTGTGATATTTTAATATTGCCTAATTATGCTCACTTCTGATTTTGTGCTTCCTTAAGTTTTGGAATTTAACAATATTTATAATCTATTCTAATTCCTACATCTAATATCTATGGGAAGAGAAAAAGATTAAGCTAACATAAAATGAATATAACTTATTACAGAAGTGTTTTAAATTGATTAGCAATTTGATCAATTCTCAATTCGTAAGTTTGTGAGTCAGGATTATAAGTGATTTCAGGACACACTGTTTGAGAGTTCCTGTGTGAATGATGTGTAGGTGTGTGTGAATGTGTGTTCCTGCCTGTTTCCTGCTATTTATTAATTTCCTGACTATCATTTGTCTTTTAGAGTTCAGTGTTTCTTCAGTTAGTTCTGACACTGTTAATTTCAAAGTTAACAAATGCCAGCAAGGTACTCAGTTTATTTCTTATCAGTGTTTTTTGCATTATTTCTTTTGCTTTTACCCTCCCTAATTTGTTTTTGAAAAGTGGCAACACAATCTTTATTTGATAGGATTCCCAAAGGGGGCAGAGTGCACCTGGTGGTTTAAGTCCTTTTTCCATTCGGAATCTGTGGTCTGGAATGTGAGAAGCAAAGATCTGTCTTCTGGTGGGTGACATTATTATTATTATTATTATTTAAAAGATTTATTCTATCTTTATTGGAAAGTCAGATGTAAAGAGAAGGAGAAACAGAGAGGAAGATCTTCCATTCAATGATTCACTCCCCAAGTGGCTACAATGGCTGGAATTGAGCCAATCTGAAGCCAGGAGCCTCCTCTGGTCTCCCACGTGGATACAGGGTCCCAAGGCTTTGGGCTGTTTTTGACTGCTTTCCCAGGCCATAAGCAGGGAGTTGGATGGGAAACCAGGCCTCCAGGATTGGAACCAGTTCCCATATGGGACCCTAGCGCATGCAAGGCAAGAACTTTAGCCACTGGAATGTGTGCTGGGCCCTGATGAGTGACTCTTAACCTTTTCTGAAAAGGGCATTTCTTCTCAATGGATGCAGTGTTGTCTGTGGCAGTGGCTGTGTAAGCTTTTCCAGGTGGCATGCAATTCCTTGCTGTGGCTTTGGGGGGAAGCGGAGGTGAGGCATGAGGTGAAGCAGGGAGCTGTTCTCTCTTTCTGGCCAAACCCTCTGTAAGGTCAGTGATGCTCCTGTGTTCCAGTCGCAATAGAGGGATTGACGAGCTCTGTGCCACTTGGTGTCATTGTTTAGGGGAAGTGGATTAGGAATCAGAGGCAAGGTTCTAAATTTGTTTTTCCACTATCTTTGAGTGAAGAATAGCCATTGTTGTTGTCCCAGAACACCTTGTTTAATCTCCCCGTTGGTTGTGATTTGTTGCTCTGTAGTGCCAGTTATTCATTTAGGACTGAACTGGTGGGTTTGTGTGCTACGGTTTCCTTATATCTTTGATACATTCTATTGTACAGTTGTTATTGGTTTTTGAATTCTTATTTTGATTTTAAATACATTAATGGCTAGAAGCAATGTGGAAAAACTGTATACTAACGAATTTCACAAATTCTGATGTTAGAACATCATGATTTTGACAAATATCCCACTTAAGAGTAAGTAGAATTAATACTGAAAATATTGTGAAAACAATCAATGCAATGCTGATTGTTGAGAAGCTCCTTTGCTTACTCTAGCATGTTTATAGATTTAGATGATCTAGCTAAGGGATTTACTTTGGCTGTGAAGCCATGGGAATTACAGAGGGGTAGCTGATAGCTGTTCGTCTGTGTGCTGTCCTGCCATACACATGTTGGTGACAGTTGGCTCTTTCATACAGCACTGAGAGTGAAGGTGACAATCAGGGTGCTCTCCCCACTGCGGGGCCTCAGGGGTGAGAGCTACATCCTCCAGCACTGCAGCCAATGCAGAGGACGCCTCTCCACAGAAGAAGAGATCTCCTTTATAAGACCAGGTTAGAACGGCCACTCAAATAGCGTATGTTCAGGCATTTTCCTGAACACTGATAATGCAAGTGGCATTAGCTTCATGAAGAATATTTGAAAAGTCTGCCTTTAGCAACATGTGCTCTTTTAAAATAATTGGATTCTTTAGATGCACTGATTTGTCTGAAGCAGTCCTTTTCCTTTACGTATTGTGTTGATCAAGAAATTGTAGATTGTATGTCAGTTGAGTGATTTATGGCTTCAGATGTGTAGAAAAATGTGGCAAAACTTGTATTTGTAATCATAAAAGGTGCAAATAGCAAACATATCCCTTGAATAGATTACTTGTCATAACTATATTGTACCTCTTAAACCAAAAGAATATCACGTAGACTTTAAAGTTCATGATTTTAAGTAATACTTAATGCTTTGGAAAATTATGTTTATGCAATAGTGAATGGAAAAAACAGAACAGTTTAAAACATTACTCTATTTATATTAAAATGCTTCATAGACATAAGAAAAAATTGGAAGGATAGAAGTCAAATAACGGCAGTGGTTTTAACTGGACACATACGTATGGATGATTCTTATTTTATTATTTACATTTCCACATTTTAAAATTGTCTGATATGACAAATCTTGTGTATAATCAGAAAATAAAGATGTTAATATAAAAAGGAACATTGCGATAATTTATGATGAGTGAATTTGCTGTATGAACTAGATAGAATATTTGTTATTTTCTTAAATACTGGATATATTAAAAATGTATATTGCTTGAAAATATTTTTCATTATAAGAAATGAGACTCAGCTGTGAGTCCTTCTAAACTCTGATGTAACTATCTGTACAACCACATGGGTAATGTTGCTCAAACATGGTTAAGGCAATGTTGCCCTGACATGATTGTGTCAGAACTCTCCTCTTATCTGACTGAATGGCAATGAACTACACGACCATGCGGTAATGTTGCATTAAGCATATAGTGGAGCACACATGATTGTCGGTAGAACTGTCTGTTTATTCAGCTACATACCCATGACAAAGTATTCACTCTGAATAAAGCTGACCAAGCATTCGTTATTTCCAAATGGGGAAGATAACTGCGTGTTTGTTTATCTCTGAGTTGCCAATGAAGGGCGCCTGTTGTCACTCTGAGTACTCTCACGGTTAGATAGCACGGTTTTCCTAGTGGTCACCTGCATATATAATATTTCCATATTTCTCCAGGCATATTCAAATGTTGGTAGGTTTTCATTTGAGTTACTATTATTATTTTTTAAGATTTATTTTTTTTATTGAAAGGTCAGTTATAGAGAGGAGGAGAGACAGGAAGCTCTTCTGTCTGAAGATTCACTCCTCAAGTAGCCTCAGTGGCAAGAGCTGAGCCAATCAATCAAGGAGCCAGGAGCTTCCTCTGGGTCTCCCACATGGGTGCAGTGTCCCAAGGCCTTGGGTCATGCTCAGCTATTCCCAGGCAACAAGCAGGATGCTGGACGAGAAGTGGGGCTGCAGGCACATAAACCAGCGCCCATCTGGGATTCCGGTGTGTAAGGTGAGGACTTTAGCCACTATGCTGTTGTGTCAGGCCCTTTACTTGGGTTATTCTAAAATTAGTCACAGGGACTGAAGAAGTTTGAAAGTGAAGCAAATCTAAGAAATAAGAATAATATGCCCAAATTAGAAAGTCTTGATTCACATTTAATAGTATCAACAAATTTCTTTTTCCTTAACTGTTAGGTATGTGTGAGTACACTGACTATTTAGGTTATCTGATGAATTTCTCAAAGTAAATTAGTGATTTGGTGTTTGTGTATTCAGATGCTGTTTATTTTTTTTTTGAACTTTTAGTTTCTAGTATTTTGAATGTACCAAGAATCATAGTTTTTATATTAGTTTAGATTGATATTACTGTTTCTCCAATTTATTATCTTTAAAAAGCAATTGAATTTTACATAAGATTCTTAAATCATACTGTACATGTAGTTTGGTTAGGCATATATATACTTACTCGTATGTTTATATACAAATATATATGAGTACAGATATCTGACAGACTGACAAATATGTTGAAAAAACTTAGATAAAACTAATGATAAAGAGCTCATGAAATAATTAAAGACATAAAAGGAAACCTTCATGCTAATTAGAATTTCTGCAGAATCAGGAAACTAGAAACGCAAATGACAAGAAGACAGTGTCTTCTGGCTAATTCTAGGTGGGCAGGAGACAGTTCTGAGCTGTGTTTAAAGAACACCTCACACGGAGTCAGCATTTGAATCGACAATGTCCTCTCTCTCTATTGAACCACTAGGACGGACTCCTGGCTCTGCCACCAGACTCTAGTCTTCTGAAAGGCAGAATCCGCAACGCAGGGGGATGGCTGAAGGAGCTGATCGGTATCGTCCATTCGGGAGGCAGTTTTACTTAAGACCTATCTGTTCAGGATTTGTTGCCTGTTGGTGAACAATGAGCAGAAAAAGCTAAATTTATGAGAAGGATGTCATCAGTCAAAATGACTTGGCAGGCACTGTGACCGTTCGCGGGCTGGGATGTTTGTGGTAAATGAAGCAGCATTTTGACAGTTTTTCCTCAGGTTATGTGAAATTATGTCTTTTTTTTTTTTATTGTTGCTTACATTATATTATGTAGTACAGTTTTATAGGCGCTGGGGATCCCCCCCATCCCTCCCATACCCCTCCCCCCATGGTGGATTCCTCCACCTTGTTGCATAACCATAGTTCAAGTTCAGTTGAGATTCATTGCTTGCAAACACCTGCCTAGCATAAAGTTCAGCGTCTTATTGTCCAGATAAGTTCAGTGGCCTCTTGGGGAGACCTTCTATGGTCTGAAGATAGGTCTAACAGAGTAAAGATCCAGTCAGTTAAAAGCCCCAACAAGGCCTCAGTATCATTATACAACATTATGGAATTAATTGACATAGTATTGGGTAAACAATATGTTAAAAATAATGCAAGTTCCATTCTTCGAAACATCTGGGTTGAGACAGTATCAATGACAGGTTCAAAAAATAACAAACCACCATACAAAAAATTACAGGTTAAATCAAGGCAAACATGTGGTATCTAATCTTTTGGGATTCACTCATTTCCCTTAGCATTATAGTTTCCAGTTGTGCCCATTTAGCCACAAAGAACTGCATTTTGTTTTTTTTAATAGCTGAGTAGTATTCCATGGAGTAGATGAACCAAAGCTTTCTTATCCAATCTTCTGCTGATGGGCATTTCGGTTGCTTCCATGTTTTCACAATTACTGATTGTGCTGCAATGAACATAGGGATGCATGTTGGTTTGTCGTAAAACAGGTGTTTTGGATATATTCCTAGGAGTGCTATTGCTGGGTCATATGGCATGCAGATTCCGAGTTGTTTGAGTGTTCTCCAGACTGATTTCCATAAAGGCTGTACCAATTTGCAGCTCCACCAGCAGTGGAGTAGGGTTCCCTTTTCCCCGCATCCTCGCCAGCAAGCGTTGTTGGTGTTCTTGTTTATGTGGGCCAATCTTACTGGTGTTAGGTGGTACCTCATCGATGTTTTAATTTGGATTTCCCTTATTGCTAGGGAGCTGGAACATTTTTTCATATGTTTGTTTGCCATTTGGACTTGTTCCTTTGTGAAATGTTTGCCCATTTCCCGTGCCCATTTCTTGAGTGGCTTGTTTGTTTTGGTTTTTTGGTTGTTTTGAAGTTCTTTGTATATCCTGGAAATTAGCCCCCTATCGCCTATATCGTGTGCAAAGATCTTCTCCCACTCTGTGGGTTGCTTTTTTACTTTGTTGATTGTTTCCCTTGCTGTACAGAAGCTTCTTAGTTTGATGAGGTCCCATTTGTTTATTCTGTTCTCAACTGCTATTGCTTTTGGTGTCCTTCTTAGAAAGTCGGTACCTACTCCTAGGTCTTGCAGGGTATTTCCTACATTTTCTTGCAAGAGTTTGAAGGTTTCTGGATGTAGGTTTAGGTCTTTTATCCATGTAGATTGGATCTTAGTGTATGGTGATAGATGTGGGTCTATCTTTTTGTTTCTACAGGCTATCAGCCAGTTGTCCCAACAACATTTACTAAAGAGTCCTTCCCACTTGCTTAAGCTGTCATTAGTCTTTTTGTCAAAGATTAATTGGCTGTATCTGTGTGGATTCCCTTTTGGTGCTTCTATTCTATTCCATTGATCTTCCTTTCTGTCTTTGTGCCAGTACCAGGCTGTTTTGATTACCACTGCTCTATAGTATGTCCAGAGGTCCGGGATTGTGATTCCCCCTGCTAATTTCTTATTTTTCAGGATGGTTCTAGCTATTCGTGGTTTTTTGTGTTTCCAGATGAACTGTTGAATCATTGTATCCAGTTCCGTGAAGAATGTTTTGGGCAATTTGATTGGAATTGCGTTGAAAATGTATATTGCTTGTGGTAGTATAGACATTTTAATGATATTGATTTTGCCTATCCAGGAGCACGGGATGTTATTCCATCTTTTGAGGTTTTGTTCAATTTCCTTTTTAAATAGTTTGTAGTTTTCTTCGAATAGGTCTCCTACACTTTTGGTTAGATTTATTCCCAAATACTTCATACTTCTCTCTGCTATTTTGAATGGTATCCTGTTGGTTAGATCTTCTTCCATCTTGGTGTTATTTGCATACACTATGGCTGTTGATTTTCGTTCATTAATTTTGTACCCCGCCACTCTGCCAAACTCTCGTATAAGTTCTAGCAGTTTCTGTATTGAGTCTCCTGGTTTTTCTATGTATAGGATTATGTCATCTGCATATAGTGAAAGCTTGACTTCTTCGTTTCCTATACGTATGCCTTTGATTTCTTTTTCTTGTCTTATGGCCTCTGCAAGTACCTCTAGGACTATGTTGAATAGCAGTGGTGATAGTGGGCACCCTTGTCTTGTTCCAGATCTCAGTGGGAAGGGTTCTAGCTTTTCTCCATTCAGTATGATACTGGCGTTGGGTTTTTCATAAATTGCTTTAATTATGTTGTGGATTTTCCCATCTATGCCTACTTTGGCTAGAGTTTTTAGCATGAAGAGGTGTTGGATTTTGTCGAAAGCTTTTTCTGCATCTATTGAAACTATTATGTGGTTCTTGTTTTGCAGTTTTTGGATATGGTTTATAACATTTATGGATTTCCGAATGTTGAACCATCCCTGCATTCCAGGGATGAATCCTACTTGATCCGGATGAATGATCTGTCTGATGATTTTTTGAATTCTATTGGCTAGGATTTTGTTGAGAATTTTAGCATCAATGTTCATCAGAGAAATAGGTCTGTAGTTTTCCTTCTCTGATGGTTCTCTATCCGGTTTTGGGATTAAGGTGATGTTGGCTTCATAGAATGAGTTTGGGAGGGTTGCTTCCTCCTCTATTGTTTTGAAGAGCTTGTAGAGGATTGGGGTTAGTTCTGTTCGGAATGTTTTGTAGAATTCTGTAGTGAAGCCGTCTGGGCCTGGGCTTTTTTTCGTTGGGAGATCCTTGATGACTGTTTCAATCTCTACCTCGGTTATGGGTTTATTTAATTCTGCAGTTGCCTCCGGACTGAGTTTTGGTAAATGGTGGGAGTCCAAGAACTTTTCTATTTCTTGGTGGTCCTCAAATTTGTGGGAGTACAGTTCTTTGTAGTAATTTCTAATTATTTTCTTAATGATTGCAGTGTCTGTTGTTATGTTGCCTTTTTCATCTTTAATGCTGTTGATTCTCACTTTCTCTTGTTTTTTTTTGGTCAATCGGGCCAGTGGAGTGTCTATTTTGTTTATTTTCTCAAAAAACCAACTTTTTGATTTGTTGATTTTATGTATAGTTTTTTTGATTTCTATTTGGTTTATCTCCTCCCTTGTTTTGATGATTTCTTGTTTCCTATTGTGCGTGGGACTCTTCTGCTGCTGTTTTTCCAGATCCTGGAGGTGTGAGGTTAGTTCCTGTATTTGGCGTCTTTCTTGGGCCTTGACATGCGCTCCGATTGCGATGAATCTACCTCGTAGCACTGCTTTGGCGGTGTCCCACAAGTTTTGGAATGTTGTATCAGAGTTTTCATTGGTTTCCATGAATTTTTTGATCTCATCTTTAATTTCTTCTCTGACCCATTGTTCGTTTAATAGCATATTGTTCAATTTCCAAGAGTGCCTATACTTCCTGGGGAGTTTTGAGTTGTTGATTACCAGTTTCATCCCATGGTGGTCTGAGAGGGTACATGGTATGATACTAATGTTTTGGAAGTTGTTTAGATTCGCTTTATGTCCTATCATGTGGTCGATTCTGGAGAAGGTGCCATGCACCGCTGAGAAGAATGTATAGTCTGTGGCCTTAGGATAAAAAGTTCTATATATGTCTACTAAGTCCAGTTGTTCTATTGTTTGTGTGAGCTCTGTTGTTTCTT